TGGCCACTGCCTGGTGGGGGGTATGGGGGAGGTCACCCTTTTGCTGCTAAACTGGGGAAGCTAGCAGCACAAGACAGTGAGCAGGAGGCTGGGCTAGCCCTCCCTCAGCCTGCCTGGTGCAATACCAGTCATAAAACTCAGCCCGCTGTCCCAAGGACAGGCTCATGCCTTCTCTGATTACTTATCTGCTCCCCAGGTGGGCTACCTGCAGGGTTGGCCAGAGGGAAGAGGTGCCCAGGCTCTTTGACAGCCATAGTTCTGCAGAAACCTTGATAATGAGCATCTTGGTTCACACATCAACCCATTTACCACCCCCCCGCCAAAACAGGGTTACTCTTCCTGGCCTGACTTCCCAGGCTTCTGAACCTGCAATTTTAATAAAATCATTATTCTTGTTGCAGATATTAGCAGCTCACTCTGTCTGCACCAGGCACAATGGGAAATGGAACCCTACGTGCAAGAATATGGAGTGACACAAGGAATTTTAGCATATTCCCAGTTCCAAGAAGTCTTGCGCAAAAGAAATCTGTTTAGTGTTATTTAAACCAGCGTCACCCAAATTCACTTGACAATGGGACAATTTTTACAGAACACCTATTAGCATGTTGCAGTGTTCCCTGCAGCCTGGTCCTGAAGGAAAGGAAAGAAAAGACCACGCGTTCATTCCACCTGTAAGAGGGCTCTGCACTGTGCCAGGCCCTGGCCATGCACTTTCTCAGGTAATCCTGATGAAGACCTCTGCCAGACATGAGCACCAGGCTCTGACAAGTCAGGTGCTCTTCCCAGGGACTCAAGCCCAGTGTGAGAATCCCCTATGGCTATAAAGTCCCTCGTTGCCTCTAGACTACAAAGCTGCATTTGGATTTTCCCTTGCTTTTGCTGCAGCTCAGAGGCCGTGATTCCTGGAGGGAGAACAGGAGAAGGCTCTGCCTGCCACCCCACAGCACTGCGGACGGTTTGGATTTGCTAATCTGGCCCCATGGCTGTTCACTTCCAGATTAGACATAAATTCCTTCAACTGGGCCTCAGTTTCCTCATCTGTAAGTGGGGCTAGGGGTGGAGGGCAGAAAAGGCATGGTTAGAAAGATGTAACCTAATGCTCTCTAGGTCCCCTCCTTAACGTGTACATCCTGGATTTATGAACCCTACATACTCAGCCTGCAATTTAGAGACACTGCCACCAGGGGGCAAGCTGGACCAAGATAATAGCCAAGTGAGGTAGGTGGGCTGGCTCTCCCGAAGAGCATCAGAGGTTGCTTTTTTTAGGTTCCCTCTCAGGTTGTACTTGGGTAGAACAGAAATTAAGAAGATGGTTCTGAGTCACTCTGAGCAAATGGGGTGGCATGGATTAAAGGATGGATAACTTTTCCACCATGTGAATTAATGCTACATAAGACCTGGTCCCTGTACCTCCTTGAAACCTTAAGAATCACTGTGAATTTCACCATCTGGGGACTTCAGGAGCACGAAGAACAAGGAACAGTGTTGGAAACAGCACCAATGGGATAAAGGACTTAGTTTAAAAAGAATCTATGCATGTTTTATTTTGCCTGTATTATGGCTTCTCTCTCTCTCTTGAATATTCAATATTTAACCTAAAAGAGTTCTTCTTAATGTCCTGGGGTCAAATCTTAAGCTGAGGTAAAGTCATGACACCTGTTACATTTGCTCACTTACGTCAAAATTGGAAATCGCTGGCTTGATGTTAAATCAGCTCCCCTTTTGGCAACTCTCTGGCAATTGCAGAAAGCAAAGCATCTGAAAAGAGCTAAATAAATACAATGTGAAGCTGAATGTCTGCCTCCTTCCAACCTACCTCTGCTACTCATCACTGCTTCCATGAGCAATGAGGGGCTCTGTGTGTGCCTTTTGAAGGTTGCACAAATGGTGCCGTTTCATACAGTAAGGCTTGTTCTGCAGATTGTCCTTTCCAGAACCCACTGCGACGTATCGTGAGATCTTTCTATGCTGCCATCTGGCGACCTGGGTCATTGCTTTCCCCTGCTGTAGATTACTCGTTTGTCCATTTTCCTGCTGGCAGACATGTACGTGCACACAGCACGGCGGTGAGTGTCTTTGTGTGGGGCTCCTCATGATCATGTGAGAGTTTCTCCAGGCTACAGAGAGTGGAGTTTCTAGGTTATAAGACTTCAATTTTGCTTAATTCTTCCTTGCTGTTGTGCATTCACAATTCATGGGTTGTATGAGAGGTCCCACTTTCCACCTCACCTACACTTGCTTTTGAATGTTTGCCAACCCAAGGACTTTGTTTTAGTTTGTGTCTCTCTGATCATTGAGGATGCTGAGCATCTTCTCAACTCTTCTGTTTGGCTTCTTCAGTCCTTATGAACCCTCTGTTCTGGCTAGGTTATAAGCTTCTGGAGGAAGGGGCTGGGTCTCACATGTAAGGCTCTCCCGGGGCACAGCCCCATCCAGGCGCAGATTTTTCCATCTGTCTTTCCCACCTGATCTCTGTGCCCCAACTTGGGAGCCCTACCCTCCAAGCTTAATAAGACCCCTGGTCTGTATGGGTGGCCAAGGACACCATACTGGCTTTTTAATCACATTGTGTCTTCTGTCTCGAATGCTGTGTCTCTTCCAATCCACCTGAGTCACCTATTCATGTGCCAAGACTCGAGCTACCTCCTCTGTGAACGCCTCTGTGACCACCAGCCCCAGCCCATCCCAAGTTCTCCTTTGTACTTCCTCTGCCTTGGATAAACTTCTCGTTGCATCTGCAAAACTTCTGAGCATCCATGCACTAATATATCTGTCTCTCCATCAGACTTTGGGCTCCTTAAGGACAGGCACCATGTCTTATTCACCTCTCAACTCACCGTTCATTGGACAGTGCTGGTCAGAGGGTAGATGCACATTACATGTTGGTCAGATGGACGGATGAGCCCCAAGGCCAGCCTTTTCCACATCAGTCCTCTGCAGACCAGAACATCCTTGAGGACAAGGACCATATTGGATTCACATCACTGTCCCTCAGGGTGCCTAACAGGGCTGAGTGTTTGCGGCGCTCAGTATGTATTTGCTGACATGACAGTACGATTGTCTGGTAGAGTAGAAAATGGCTTTGGTCAGAAATTTCTGGACTTCCGATCCCAGCTTCCTAGTGGCATGAGTTTGGGCAATTTACTTGGTTTCTCCAAGCCTTGGATTTCCCACCTTCATAAAGCTTCTAGCTCTGAGGACTGGTGTCAGGAGGAAAGAAGGTTGTGTGTGTAAAGCATTGGACATACAATCATATGCACCAGGCATGTTATAATTTCTAGGTCAGAATAGCATGAAGTCTGCTATTTTTACAACACCCAGGATGGTGTGTTTCTTCAGCTGTAAGTTGTGATGAGCAGATAGTAGCTACTTAATAAAAATGAAGTCTGGTTTTCCAGCACGAGAACAGTGCCTTGTAGAAATTACATACTCAGTAAAGAAGTTGAGCTGAACTCAGCACCTTGCACATAATTAGGTACCCAGTCAATATTAAATCAAACCAAGCTCACTTCCCTGTGCTGCATCCTGCTCCAATCCTATCTTAAAGAAGTCTTTCCCTTTTGTGGTTCCCCTTCTCCTGACAGCCATCTGCTTTCAATTTTTCCAAAGCATGGTGATCACTGTGGTAGACTGTTATTGAACCTGAACTTGTCCTGCCTGTGCTAGTACTCTTGTGCAGTCTCTTAGTACGAGTCTGGGCTGGACCATATGTCCCTTTGACCACAGGGACATTAACAAGCCAGTGCAAGGTGTGATAAGCTCTTACACATTAGAGTCTTGTCCCTTTGGAAAGCTGCTTCTTGGAATGCTGTCACCGTGTCAAGAAGAAGCCCCAGCTAGTCACAAAGGAAGGCCCCATGGGGAGAGAGTGATGCCCAGGCAGCCACCAGCTATGGCACTCATCCCCACCGGGTACCGGGCATGTGAGAACGGCTGTCATCCTCACAACTACATGGAGCAGAAATGAGTCACACTGAGCCAAATTGCATAATCACAAGCAAATAAATGATCATTGTCATTTTAAGGCTCTTGGTTTGAGGGTGGTTTGGAACACAGGAAATAACAACCCATGAGTGGGACATGTTTTAAGGATGCATGTCAGTGACACTGCTGCTGGCTTGGAGACCCACCAGGTAAAGCCCTTTGGGATCAGCAGGTAGACATGACGGTCTAAATTGGAACCCCATCCCTGGAGGACTCTTCCCTGGGAACCCAACCCCCAGGTCCCTCCCCTGTTGTTACCAGGGACCCTGACTGGCTAATGATGACTTTGTCTTAAATGATGAAAAGTTGCCCAGGTTTGCCTTATAAGAAGTCCAGAAGTGGTGGCTTCTGGCCAGGTGGATGGAGCAGCTCAGTGAGGTCAAGGAAAATCCAGATTGTGCCCCAGCGTCTGCGATTCCTCCGGTCCCAGATTTTCCACCAGGAGCGGTCTGCACTGCATCATTCCTCACTCAACACAACAGGAGAGAGGGATGCTTCCCAGCTCTCCCAGCGGACAAAAGAATTTCCCAAAAGGCTCCACACACCCGCACCTCTCCTTGCATCTCATTGGCCCATATTGAGTCATACGCCCATTTCTGAACCAATCAGTTTGTATGCGCAGGGAGAGAGGCAAGAATTACCCTGCGACCAATCAAACCCACCCCTGCATGGGGGCGGCGGGGGGGGGGGGATGCCTGATTCCTCTGAAGTCCATGGGCTCCTGGGGGAGGAATGATGTCCGGAAATAATCGGGGTTCAGCTACGGTGGGCATGCAATGTAAGCTCCTGCAGTGGCCACTGTGAGGCGAGGCCTCTCCCATAAGACATGAGGTAGAAGCCAAGCAGCACTCAGCTCCCACATCCTGTCCTAGAATTATGAGGGAAGGGGTGTATGTCTAGGGGGAAGGTCTGGGGAGAGTTTGGGCTCTTGGGGCTTCTCTCCTCCCCCAGTTGGTCTTTCCAGTACCACACATCTGCCCCCACCCCAACGTGAAGGGAAGCAACAAGAAGAGGAGAACATTCAGATGTGTTTCTCTTTATTGTTAGCGCCTTCTCTGAGTGGAGGGCAACTCTTCCCAGTCGTATCTAATACTTTGAGCTCTTGTTTTTGCTCTTTTCTCCAAATCTCTCATCCAGTGCTTTCTGTAAGTTCATATTCATCGCATTTTTCTGGTGCCACCGTCCTGCAGAGAGCAGGGAAGGAGCCAGCCCAGATCACCCAGAGGACTTCTGGAGTGCCTGGGCCCCAGTGGTGATTCATGCCTCTCCCAGGCCCACCCCAGAGCTCTACCTGCTGCTCTGGTCTCCCTCTGCACCTTGGGGCCAACACACCCTGCCCGGGTAGGGGAGCGCCCGCCTCCCACAGCCCAGCACCCCCACGTACCCAGATCGTCCGTCTTCCTGCCATGCCAGTGTTCTATGTCCCTCACTGATTTCTCAATCACCTCTGGGGTGTAGGAGGCCTTCATGAGGCTCTTCGTCTCCTCGGGGGCCCCTGTGGAACCCCATGAAGAAACCCCCAGAAGCCCCAAGTCAACGGAGGTCAGGCACTCAAGAATTCATATCTGGGTGTCAGTTTCCCTATGGATGGTGGACTGTGGGAGGGCAGGGATGTGGAGAGGCGGGCCTGGGTTCAAACACCAACTCTGGCATTTATGAACAGTGTGGCCTCAGACAAGTATTTAACCTCTCAGAGCTTTGGTCTCTTTATCTATTCAAAGGAATAAAATTTTCTTGCAAGATTGGGAAGATTACATTATTGGAAATTGGTTGGACCATCTGGCATGGGACAATTAATATCTGTGTTTTCAGAAAATTTATTTCTAGTGGCACCTGGGTGGCTCAGTCAGTTAAGAGTCTGCCTTCGGCTCGGGTCATGATCTCAGGGTCCTGGAATTGGGCCCTGCATTGGGCTCCCTGCTCAGTGGGGAGCCTGCTTCTCCCTCTCCTCCCTGCTTGTGCTCTCTTGCTATCTCTGTCTCTCTCTCTCTCAAATAAATAAATAAAATCTTTAAAAAATTTATTTCTATATTGCATTGTATGTTAACTAAAATTTAAATTAAAAGAAAATGTATTTCTATGTGGACAGTTAAAATACACACACACAAAAATAAGTTATCAGGATCAAGAGTCAGCAGAAACATCAGAGGACCAAATCCCAAAAGATAGCAAGGATTCAAATGATCAATTACAGAATATAAAATAAGTGTATTTAATGTTTGAAATCATGAAAGACAGAATAAAAGTATCAGTAAAGAATAAGAAATTACCCAGAAAGAACAGATTAGTAAAAGAAGCAAGTGGGATTTCAGAAACAAAACCTATAATTGAAAAATAAATTCAATGGATGATAAGATGTCTGGGATTTGCTTTGAAATAATGCAGGGTGGGCAGATGGATGGGTGGGAGAAAAGATGAAACGAGATTGGCCATGGATTAATTGCTGAAGCTGGGTTACAAGTGCAACATAATAGTCATTAAATTATTCTCTCTTCTTTTAAGTTTGAAAATTGGCATCAGAATGTTTAAAAGAAAATTCAGGGGATAAGGAAAATAGCAGATGAGAGGCAGCTAAGAAAAAAATGGTCAACTGGAAGATACAGCTAAAGAAGCTAGGGGGGCACCTGGGTGGCTCAGTTGGTTAAGCATCCAACTATTGATCTCAGCTCAGGGTCATGAGTTCAAGGCCTGCATTGGGCTACACACTGGGCGTGGAGTCTGCTAAAGAAAAAAAGAAGACATTAACTAGAATGCAGCATACAGGAGGGAAAAAGATGTGGAAAATATGAAAACGCTAAGATGAAGTTCTGATATATGTGTAAGTGGAGTTCTGAAGGTGAGACTGGAGAAACCAGAGAGGTAGCATTTGAAAAGATAATCATAGTAGGAATTTTTCCAGAATTAGTGCAATATATGAATTCTCAGACTCAAGAATCAGTTTCCCAATCAGCATACGTAAAAAGAATTCTTTAGCTAGGTACATCCAAGTAAAACTTGAAATACCAGAACCAAAGAAATCTTAGAAGTGGCCATACATTGATGTATATTTACATCAATACATATGCATATACATAAATTATACATAATATACATGGGTTTTAATTTATGGGGTAAAATAATGACGATGATCTCTAACCATCTTTGAAGATTTACTATGTGCCAAGCACATTCTCAGAGCTTGATAGAGCTTACTCATGGAATCTTCTCAACAACCCTAAGAAGTAGGTATGATTATTATCCCCCTCTTACTGTTGAAGTCACGGAAACACAGAAAGGTTAAGCCACTCCTCTAAAGTCCCACAGCTGGTAAGTTAACGATCGAGGGCCCAAACCAGACCCTGTGGCCCCAGAATCCACAGCTGAAACTACTTTGCTTCTGTAGAATTAAAATTCGGTAAAATAATAACATGTAAGCTGAGATGGGGGCAGAGAGAATAAAATTGAGGCCTGTTAGTGTCCTATATTATTCAGGAAAGCAAATATCTTGTTCAACTTTAGAATGTGTTAGTTACGTGTGTAAAAATGTCAAAGGTAACCACTAAAAAATAAGGAGATTAAAGACACAAATTGGAAAAAAAGAAACTTCACTCAAATGCAAAACAAGGAAGGAGGGAAAAAGGCAGCACCAACAGAAAACACAAAATAAAGTCATAAGAATAATTCCAAATGTATCAGGGATTAGTGTAAATATAAGTAGACTAAGACCCATTGATGAAAAAAACGATCAGACTACAGAACAGATTTTCCAAATATATATTATGTAAAGCATAGGTAAAACAAAAGGACACAGAGAAAGGATAAACATGGAATCACAAGAGTGATTGATTGCTCCTCTATGAGGGACCCTGAAGGATGGGGGTGCAAACTTTCATCTCCGGGGCTGGAGAGCTGGGCGGCCATATTTATCCCATCCCTGCCTGAGCGCTGAAAGCCTTCAGGGAACAAAACAGCGCCACCTAGTGGAGACTGGAACTGTTTACACTGAGCCGTGAGCACTGGAGTCGCATTTCCACTGAAACAAGCCTGAGAATCAGTACAACAGGCCCCTCCCCCAGAAGACGGGTACAAAAACAACTTGCTGGCACCAAGTCTACTGATCATAGAGGGCTGGAAAGCTTCAGCTCTAGGGGAAAGGGGATTTAGCTTCCTTTTCACTTTTATTCGTTTTTAATTATTATTTTTTCATTTATTTTCTCATTTTTAATTTATTTTTAAACTTTTATTATTATTTTTAAAATTTTTATTGTTATATATTTATTTTATTTTATTTTTTTATTTTATTTTTGGATCTAGATTCTTTTAACAAGCAGACCAAAACACACATAGGACCTAGGGGTTTTTTTGCTTTTTTGTTTTGTTGGGTTTTTTTCTTTCTTTCTTTCTTCTTTTCTTTTCTGGACAAAATGACAAGATGGAGAAATTCACCTCCCAGAAAAAGAACAGGAAGTAGTACTCATGGCCAGGGATTTAATGCAGATATAAGTAAGATGTCTGAACCAGAGTTTACAACAATGATTATAAGGACACTAGCTGGGCTTGAAAAAAAGCATAAAGACTAGAGAATCCCTACTGCAGAGATAAAGGACTAAAATCTAGTCAGGCTGAGGTTAAAAATGCTATAACCAAGATGCAAACCCAAATGGATACCATACTAATGAGGATGGATGAAGCAAAAGAACGAATCAGTGATATAGAAGATGAAATTATGGAAAATAATGAAGCTGAAAAGAAGAGGGAAACAAAAGTAATGGACCACGAAGGCAGACTTAGGGAACTCAGCAACTCATTAAAACGTAATAATATTCGTATCATAGAAGTTGCAGAAGATGGAGACAGAGAAAAAGGGGCAGGAAGTTTATTCCAACAAATTACAGCTGAAAACTTCCCTAATCTAGGGAAGGACACAGACATCAAAATCCAAGAAACACAGAGAACTCCCATTAAATTCAACAAAAGCTTACCCCAAAGATACAAATGTAGTAATCCGAAGAGGTACATGCACCCCGATGTTTATAGCAGCAATGTCCACAATAGCCAAACTATGGAAAGAGCCAAGATGTTCATCGACAGATGAATGGATAAAGAAGATGTGATACACACACACACACACACACACACACACACACACACACACACACACAATGGAATATTATGCAGCCATCAAAAGGAATGAAATCTTGCCATTTGCAACAACATGATGGAACTGGAAAGTATTATGCTGAGCAAGACCTGTATCATATGATCTCACTGATACGAGCAATTCTTAATCTCAGGAGACAAACTGAGGGTTGCTGGAGTGGTGGGGGGTGGGAGGGATGGGGTGGCTGGGTGATAGACATGGGGGAGGGTATGTGCTATGGTGAGTGCTGTGAATTGTGTAAGACTGTTGAATCACAGACCTGTACCTCTGAAACAAATAACACATTATATGTTAAAAAGAAGAAGAAGAAGAAGAAGAAGATAGTAGGAGGGGTAAAATGAAGCAGGGGAAATCGGAGGGGAGACGAACCATGAGAGACTATGGACTCTGAAAAACAAACAGGGCTCTAGAGGGGAGGGGGGTGGGAGGATGGGTTAGCCTGGTGATGGGTATTAAAGAGGGCACGTATTGAATGGAGCACTGGGTGTTATACACAATGAATCATGGAACACTACATCAAAAACTAATGATGTAATGTATGGTGATTAAGATAACATAATAAAATTTTTTTAAAAAGTCAACAAAAGCTTGGTGACAACCAAGGCATGTCATAGTCAAATTCACAAAATACACAGAAAAGGGAAGAATCCTGAAAGCAGCTTTAAGGAAAGGACTTTAAGGGGAAAAGGTCCTTAACCTACAAGGGAAGACAGATCAGGTTCACGGCAGATCTGTCCACAGAAACTTGTCAGGTCAGAAGAGACTGGTAGGATATATTCAAAGTGCTGAATGGGAAAAATATGCAGCCAAGAATTCTTTATCCAGCAAGGCTGTCATTCAGAATAGAAGGAAACATAAAGAGTTTCCCAGACAAACAAAAACTAAAGGAGTTCATAACCACTAAACCACCCTGCAAGAAATTTTGAGGGGGACTCTGAGTGGAGAAAAAAGACCAAAAGCAACAAAAACTAGAAAGGACCAGAGAACACCACCAGAAACCCCAACTCCACAGGTAACACAATGGCACTAAATTCATATCTTTCAATAGTTGCTCTGAATGTAAATGGACTAAATGTTCCAATCAAAAAACAGGGTATTAGAATGGATAAAAAACAAAACAAAACAAGATCCATCTATATGCTGTTTACAAAAGACCTGTTTTGAACCTAAAGAAACCTGCAGATTGAAAGCGAACCATTTATCATGCTAATGGAGGTCAAAAGAAAGCCAGAGCGGCCATGCTTTTATCAGACAAACTAGATTTTATTTTTTTATTATTTTAAAGATTTATTTATTTATTTTATATAGAGAGAGCATGAGCAGGAGGGAAGGAAAGAATCTTAAACAGACTCCAC